TTAATCAACTATTTCTAATATATAACTGAAAGCTTTTAGTTTATTAGTACAGAAACTTACTAAAGCAAAGCAGTTGAAAGATGGAGTAACAGTAAAGTCAGTGAGCAAAAATAAGTAAATCCAAAATAAAAAAATTAAGTTATATATTTTTTGCAAAAGCTTTATGTGAGTTTTTTTGGCATAAAAATCATCCTGAAGTCTTGTGGATGATTGAATATTATCAAAAGTTTCAAGACAAATTCACCCAATCATAAACACTGAACTATGTATGAGGTGGTATCAGAAAGTTTCTGGACTGTACATGCTTTGATTGCTTGATTTGCTCTTTCTGACTTATCAACCTTTTGCAGGTTATTTAAAGCCAGAAAATATTTTTTGGTTTGAAAGAATTTTTAGAGATAATAATGATTTACTAATACAAGTCCTACTAATTAACCGATAGCAGGGGGAGAAGAGGTGGATTCATACCTTTCCCAGGGTATTTGCATGTAAGTGAATATGACAAAGCCAACTGGAATTGGAACTTGGCCCTTCAATTTCCAATTCCACGCAGTTATCCATCCACATAGCCTATACATGCTGTGATTATACCATACAATGAAAATGCACACAGACAACATTCATTAGTATCCAACTTAGCAAGTCAGTCTGCCATTGTGCTATCTATTCATGTTCCATTATTATGTAAGGTTTAGTAATATTGTGTTGGAACAAACTTTACAACAACTAAGAAATTTGAGCAATGTACCGGCAATAAATTTTGCATGAAGCTCAGTAAATTAAGTTTTGGGAACTTTCCTTAGTTTCTGTCTGAATTTCTGTGATGAGGAATTATTATTATTTACAGTCAGAATAATATCTTCATCTATGTTATTATCACAACATTTCAACCATCGTACACTTTGACCTTCTTCAGATGTCTGTCAGATTACTATCAAGGAATTTCAAACTGAATCCTTTATTAAATTATAGGAGTAGATTGTTCTCTTTCCACTATCTTTGTCTAAAGATATCTCTTGTTCATTTTAGTACTGCTCATTTCTGTATGAATTTCTGGGATGAGGAGTTATTTACACTATTTACATGCAGACTATTATCCTCATGTTTGTTGTTGTTATGCTTCAGCTACTGAGCCCTCTCGCATACATCAGGTATATGTTGATCTGGGTAACTGTTGTAGCATACCTATGGACGATAATGGGTATGTCCCCATTCACATAAATACAGTAGTAAATACTGTATGTTGGTCTGCAGTTGGAGATTCATTGTGGAATTCACTCATTTCTAGCAGTTGACTATTACTTCTATGTGCCACTGGTGAATCTTATATATGTTGTTTGTATCCTAAGTATTATTGTTCATTACCAACCTTCATTTGATTATTCTATTTAGTAACCTTCCCTAGGTTACAACAGTAACCTACAAGGAATTCCAAATTGAAACCTTTGTTTACTCTACAGTGGTATACTGTTCTCATTCCATTGCCCATGTCTAGAAATATCTCATCTAGTTCTAATTTTTAGAACTGCTCAGTTATTGCTTGCCCTGTTTCCACAGTTACTGAATGAGGTTGTTGAAAGTAAATAATGGTTGACCTGAGACGAAGTAGTTAAGATGGTAGTGATCAGGAAAGCATCCTCTCAGGAGTTTTTTCCACAGTAGCGGTTCTTGGAAAGAAGCTGTTCAAATGGAACTTCTTTATATATATATATATATATATATATAGATAGATAGATAGATAGATAGATAGAAAGAAAGGGTTACCGAATGAGAAACAACCAAAACAGAGGTTGGAAATGAAATGGTAATTTTTATAACATCAACAAAATACAATACTCGCCAGCAGCATGAAGTAGGTAAACCACTGCTAGAGGCAGACTACTTAAACAACATATTACCCCCATTTACAATAGTGTCCGACATATTTATCAGGATTAGGACATACCCATTAGTGTTCATAGGTACAGTATATAATAGTAGGTGATCATGACTCTCTACAACTTCCTATCCTTTGTAGCTCTAAGTAATATTTCTCTCTTTACTCTCCTTCCCAGTCACTGTTCTGTCATCCATTTACATAAGCCTATTGGGTACATGATCATGGGTCTCCATAACTTCCTACCCGTCATAGCTCTAACTAATATTTCTCTCATTACTTTCCTTCCCAGTCATCCATTTACACAAGCTTATTGGGTAGGTGTTGTAACCTAGAAAAGTTTACTGAATGAGGAATAACCAAAAGGGAGGTTTGAAATGAAATGGTAATCTTTATAACATTAACAAAATACAATACTCGCCAGTGACGTAAAATAGGTAAACCACTGCTAGTGGTGAACTACTTAGCATATTGCCCCCACTTACAATAGTGGCCAACGTATTTATCAGGATTGGGACATACCCATTAGTGTTCATAGGTATGATATACAACAGTAATGAGAATGTTCAACCCCATATAGTGATTTTACAAGCGTAGCTTAGATGTGGCACAAGGCTGAAAGTATGGGGTACCCAATGAGAATCAAACTCACTGCTCATTCGTAATTGTTCCAGCAAGACAAGCTTGCTACCCATTACACAGCTTCAAGGTGCCCTGTTCAACCCCATATATATGGCATGATGAGATTTAGCTGTAAACATCTGAACTGGCAAGACTAAGGAATGTAGCACATCAGAACATTTGCCATGGAACTAGCAATAGAATACCAAGAGGCTTACAATGTTTTGTCTGTTGGAAAAGAATTGTAGGGTGGATTGACAAATACCTGAAGAAGGCCAAAGGGTACAACATCCGAAACACTGTGATAATAACAATAAATATGAAGACATTAGTCCAATTTTAAATAATATAAAGGACATTCTTTAAGTTGAGTGTCAGTTTCTGAGTGGCACACATGCTTCAAGGCTGGTTGAGTGTCAGTTTCTGAGTGGCACACATGCTTCAAGGCTGGTTGAGTGTCAGTTTCTGAGTGGCACACATGCTTCAAGGCTGGTTGAGTGTCAGTTTCTGAGTGGCACACATGCTTCAAGACACATGCTTTAAGATGATGGGTGTTTAGACGGATCAATAGCCAACAAAAAGGCCAGAAAAGGTAAAAAAATAAAATCCATAAACTCATCTATGAGGAATATCAATAAATAATCCATCAGCTCTCTAACATAATTGGAATAAGTTACGAAACTAGTCAGGGGATCATATTTTGGGAACTTTCTGAAACCACCTCACTCTACACTGAAAAAGGATCTAAGGAAAACTTACATATAGACATCATTTTGTTGATCAGGTGTCATTTTTGCTGCACTAGAAAAAAGACGCAGTTGACTGAAGGACATGGTCGCTGTTGTTGGAACCACGAGGCGATGAAATCTTGTGTGAAAATACTTAATGTAGATTGCTGGACGAATGCTCAAGTCATTTGGGCTCTTCATTTTGTTTTTTTTTTAGGGGAAGGGGAAAAGAGAATAAAGAATAATAGAATCCAAAAGAGTAACAAAAAATAAAGGGTTTGAAAAAAAAGCAAATACATCTATTCAGGGTAAAGGTAATTTCAAAAAGAATAAAAAATACATATTTGTAAAACAATATCTGATAAACGAATAGACATGGCCATTTCAGTTTTTCAAAATTTTGTCTCTTTACAAAGAATTATTTCCCAATGACCTGCTTAATCAGTTTGCTGCAAAAAGCAGATATATCTGCTCAAAGTTTTATTACTGTTAAAGTGCAAAAACTATATTTGCTCCATGGCTTTGAAAAACATCTATACTGCAAGTAGATATTTTTGTGGATAATTAACAACATTATAGGAATGACCATGAAAATTCTGCAGTGAAAAGGTTAATATTTTTTTTAGGCAAGTCAAATGTACAAAGGGTTGCTGAAATGTTCTTATTACTGTTAAACTTCTGCTGGATTTACCTTTTTTACTCTGGTCACCTTCACTCAAAGATGTCTTATTTCTCTTCTCTCTAGGTGATATATATATATGATAAAATATAGTTTTAAGTTATGCTATCTTTATGGCTTAAAGTGCTCAATATCAGGGATAGAGCACATGTAAATATAAAAGTGGACATTGAAGTCAACACTCAGGAGTGACAGTTTCATGCTAAATGCAGTCATCAGGCCATGTGTATTGTCTTTGCTCCACTTTTTATATACATAGGTCAATGATCCATTGTGGGTAGTCTACTGTATTATTCTAATGGTTATTTTGATGGGCGTGGTTTGTTAATTTGTTTATTATTTACTTAGTTTATTTACTTCTTTGTTTGGATTAATTTATTTTACTTGTTTTTGCTTATTTTATTTATTTATTTTCATTTATTCTTTTTGTCTTCCATTTTCAATTTTTAAGTAGCCTAGTAAAAAAATTGTTTTCCTGCTTGTATTTTAAGATGAGTTCTGATCATTTATTTAGAGTTTGTTTTGGTCTGGGAAGGTAATTATGGCTATTTTTTCCTCTAGGCAGAGTTTATGGCTTTTGGACTGATTGTTGTAGACTGATGTTATTTTCCTTATTTTCCATGATATTTTTGGCATGATTTGTTTTATTTAAAAATAATTATTCCAAAGAAATAAATAATGGTGGAGAAGGTGAATCAGCAAGCCAAGTTCAAATTCTAACCTAGCCTTTTGTTGCCAATGGTTGAACACTGTGTTTAGTTCTCAAACTAAACCTTATGATAAAACCAAATTCCTTCTTTGCAAGTTTTACCAATTAAACTACAAAATATACTATATACAACACACTATTTATTGGTTGGTCGATTCATTTTCCATAGCTTGCAGGCTATTTAAAGCCAGAAAATATTTTTAGATAATAATGGTTTTATTGATACAAGTCTTTCTAATTAACTCATAAATGATGGGAGAAGAGGTGGATTCATACCTTTCCCAAAGGTATTTGCACATAGGTGAATATAACAAACCTGATGGGAATTGGAACTCAGCTCTTTAACAATTTTGAGCCATTATTCATTACACCACCCATACATCCAAGCTTACAGCATCTGGAATCCCCAAGCGGTCACCCATCTAGGTACTGACCAGACTCAACATTGCTTAACTTCAGTGATCATATGCAAACTGGTGTTTCAAAATGATGTGGCCATAAGATTTGTTGGATAGAAGCGATGGTAAACTAATTCTAGACAAAATTTTGTACCATTAGAATTTTTTTGCAACACTGACATATGTTGAAATCCTTACAGTATTCTTGAAGTTATCAGTAACAATTTTTCAAGATTTACAAACTCTAAGTTTCATTCAATTTCACAAACCAATCAATGAAATTTAAATAAGCTGATTTGTTTGGAAAAATACTTTGACAAAAAACCTACTTAGCAATTTAATAATTCCTTTAATTTAATTTTATAAGACTCATGATAAACAATATATTTAAGAAAATTTCTTTTTTTCCTTTTTAACAGCGAAGAATAAATTCTTAAGATTTTTTTACTTTTGAGCATGCAACATCCAACTGCCATGCATAAATATTTATTTCTGGAGCCAAATTCCAACTTTTTGAAGCGTTTGGCCTTGTGATTTGTTCACAGTTCTCATAAACACAAGGCAAACTGGAAACTGGATTTTTGTATATATAAAAACTTAAAGAAAAAATATGCAAAAAACAGTATTGGATTTTTATTAAATAAGTATTTGTTATTTTAATCCTTAAATTATTTTAAAAATACTAGAAGTATTTTGTATGTTAAATAAAACTTAATTTTTTCAAAAAAATTAATGAAAATTTATTGTACTAGTAAAACCAACTGTACTTCTCTGCACATTTTGGTTTCAATCAGTCAATGTATGGCTATTTTAGAGGTTGTGACAGACTAATGGAAATCACAGAAATTTATATATAGATTTGTTGTGTCAGAAACCTACCACCCCTCTGGAAGATGAACTTGTCTGCGAACAAAGACTTTAAATAGTGGCATGTCAAAAGACAGAGAGACAGAAGTTCTTAGCTGAGCTAGTTATTGACTACTCTGGCGATTTCTATACCTTTTTACCAACCTATTAAAACCCTTTTTATTGTTACGTGTTATTTGGTGTTTGTCTCTACTAACCCCAAATCAACATCATAACAAGATTATTTTTTCACATAGAAATTTATACCAGATCGTTATCAGTGGAAACTGAGTGAGAGCAAGCATTCTTAAATCTCAAGCAAATTTCTTGGTTACCCCAAAGAAATCAGTAACGTTTTCAGGTCTTCTTCAAATTTCTAATTCATCAAATCTCATTTCTAGTGTTCTGCCATGGTCCAAGTATGCCAACTACTATAGACAGAGCTAAACTTTTACGGTTTTCTCAGTTCCCTGTTACTTTCCTAGTCCATCTGTCATCCACCCATTTTTTTTTTCTATTCTCAGATTATGGACTGCTGGCAAAGCAACATTTAAAAACTGACAGGTCCTCTTTTCCCTTGTTTACAATGAACAGAATATATTTTCACTACATGCTGATACAGCTCAGAAGGAACACTGCCTTTTTAAAATTAGAAGTGCTTTTTGTTTCAAATTCATCTAATAAATAAAAGTTTGGACAAAGTTATATTGATTTATTGATGTTATAAATACTTTAAAAAGTGGATTAATTGTAGGGGGAGGCATGGTAGAGTAATGGTTAGCAGTTCGGATTGAGGAATCAAAGAGCCGAGTTTGAATTCCATTCAAATCCATTATATTCACTTATATGTTAATACCCTTGGGAAAAGTATAAATCCTCCTCTTCTCTCTCCCCACCACCAGCTATGGGTAAATAGCAGGACAGACTGGGTTCTATAGCCTTGGATGGCAACTGGTCTACTGCAGAAAGAAATGGCAACCTACGGCAAGAAAAAAAAATCTGCCTTGTCAGTCATGTATCAAAAGATACATGATTGCCTAACCGTGTATCACGCATGGCACATAACTGACTATTTTTTATGGATTATCAACCATTTAGAAGTTATTTTAAAACAAGAATTTTTTTTAGATTGTAAGAATTTTGGTGAGATAATAATGATTTACAGAAACAAGTCATCCTAATTAACACATAGCTGGGGAGGGAAGAATGGATTCATTCCTTTCCCAAGAGTATTTTGCATATAAGTGAATATAAAAAACATGACTGGAATTGGAACTTGTCTCTTCGATTTCCAATTATGAGCCAATATCTATTGCACCACCAGCACATCCACACTTACAGCACCTGGTATTCCCAAGTGTCACCCATGTAGGTACCAACCAAGTTTAATGTTGCTTAACTTTGGTGTTTCAATGTGATATGGGTGTAAGTCTTTAAAAAGTGGAAAACTGCATAGACGAAGATTAATAATTCAAAAACAATCTTTACAAAAGACAAAAAGTTACAAAATAAAACTTCATTTAATCAGGAATTTCTGTCATTTTTTTTTTCACTTAAACTGCAAATAATACAACACTCTTCTGCAGGTAATTGATTAAAAGATCATATATTTAAAAAAAAAAAAAAAAAAAAAAAAAAAAGAAATGTAAAAAGAAAAAACAAGCAATTTCTGTAATTGGTTAAAATTATGTAATCATACTATGACAGTTAATTCTTTTCTAGAATAATGACCTGATGAGTGCTTAATCTAGGAATCTGCCTGTTATGTGATATTGATTTCTATGATCACACATTTTATATCTACAGAGAATCTATCTTTGAAACAGACCATGCTTCCCCATTAATATAGCAAATTTTAAACAATACATTGGCTATATTTACAAGAGAAGAGTACTCGATATATAGAAATTGAGCATATATAAACAGTGTCAGTATAGTAATCAGTACTGTTTATTTATGTGTGTGTGTATATATATATATATATATATATATATACACAAACACACATATACACAATTGTGTGACCAAAGTTATTTTAGCACAATATTGTATTTTATTAAGTTATATTTAACAGGCAAATGCATTTAAACTTTATTTCTTTTAAATTTTTAATTAATTTTTACAATTGTATGACAACAATTCAAAAGCTTTGGAAGACAAACAACTTCACAAGATTGAAGTTCAAATACAGTAAATTCGACCTTGCTAACCGAACGCGCATCCTTATAGGATACAGGTTTAAATCCTGTCACAGGATGAATATTTTCTGTGAAAATTTCTCAGACATTCAGGCCGGTAAATGTTGTTTAATACTGTTTATTACAAACAGAGCATTTACTTAAATATTTATATCTATAAAAAGAATGTATAAACATAAACACAAAAATGTCTTAAAATAATAGTCAGACTTTGTCCATTTCATAATGTGTGACGTCCTATATATATATATATATATATATATATATATATATGCACAGTAATGGATTTCAAAGGAATTGCAATGGCATACAGGAGTTATATTTTATTATTTATTTTTTAATAAAAAACATCAATAGAAAATAAGGTTCTTTATTTCTTTGAATGATTTTGAGAGATTTTTTAAACGACCATTGCAATATGGAAAATGCTGGAGTAAATAGATAAACAGATTATATAGAAAATTAAGCTTGAAAACCTTATATAATTTCTTAATAAGCTATATATTGTTAGTGTTAGTAAAAGATTTTTTGGGAGCACTTCCAAAAATTGTTCAAAATTTTCAACAATGTTGGCTTTTAAGATTCTATTTTAAACTATTTAACTGTAACTAGTTAAATGGCCGCCAACATCGTGCATTAACTCGATACCAGGTCAATTTTTATTTATAAATGTTAATGATAATATTAGCCCTTTCTCTATATGGAAACATTCGGCATTCATTGACTGAGCAGACAGTACTTCTGTCGGCTGAAATTTGTCTTTATCTGAGTGTTGCAAATAAGGGAAATTACTCCATAAATAGTATTTAATGAAACCACAGTTATCTCCCTCCAAATGTCGGATTTTTTTATAATAGAGGTAACAGCACATGTATTCATTTTGATAATATTTGTTAACATTTAATTTGACAAAGTATCTACCTCGTTTATTTTCTTGCTTGCACACCTAATAAAGAATCAGGGCTTTTCTATATTTCACATCTCGATGTGATTATATATATATATATATATATATATATATATATACAGGATGTAACAGCAAAATTGTCCAATTGTTAGATAAGTTTTGAATTGTATCTTAGAAATGAATAAACATATCTTACTGCAATTCTCTGAGGTTTTTATAACACTATTGAGCTCTACTTTGAACAATAAGAATGTATTTAGCTCTGAATTAAAATGATGATCCCTCTTACTATTGTGACCTCCTGATCCAGTTTTCCTTCTTTTTTAAACTTATTCTCCTGATGGTTCTTGAATGGACTCTTGAAGATGGAAGCCAGAGTATGAATGTTGGCACCATTACTTAAAGCCTGAATGATCTTTTTCCTTTCACCACTGCTCAGTTGGGAAGACATAGAGGAGCTGACAAAAAATGATTTTAACCTGTTCTCTTACTAGCTGAATAACTCAAAGGGTTTTTCATTGATTCTTACAACAAATGGTGTCAAGATGGCTAAACATCTTATCTGAAAACCTAGAAAAACAAAACTTTGTTAGTTTAGTGTTTTTTTTTTTAGATATTAAACATTTTGTGGGATGGACAGTTATCCCACACTGTTATATAATTTGGACAATTTTGCTGTTACACCCGTTTTATATATATATATATATATATATATAATTATTTAAAAAATATGATTCCAACTTGCGACATAAGAGGTCTCATGTTTCAAAACAAGAGCCGAAAACTTCAATATAATTATTTGAATCATATTTTTAAATAAATAATTATATTTATGCTCTACTTTTGTATCGAGCACTATTTTTTAAAAATAATAACTAAAATACTAAGGAACTTTGGATTATTTACCTAACCAGTTCTTTCCTATTTTATATATATATATATATATGTATATATATATATATATATATTACACTGAGCTGTGAAACTGTCAGTCGCCATGCAGTAATGACTCCTATGTCCACCCTGTCTGTATTTATAAACACTATCCCCAATACTAAGAATTCATCCCCTGTAAGTATAGCAAATTTTTAAGAATACATACATATATGTAAAAATTCAGATATGACTAAAAATAGATCTGTAAAAAGACA